ACTGTCACTAAAAATAAACAGCTCGCTAACTGAAGCTTAAAATAGACAACACAGCGGTCCGTATTTAAAAAGAGACCCGCCCAGTGGGCTGATCGGATCGTTAATTTACAGCGTGAAGACTCACGTGTACCACAGCTGCAGCTAAAAATAAACAATACAGCGGTTCGTCCCTAAAAAGACCCACCCAGTTGGCTGATCGGATTGTTAATTCACAGAGTGAAGACTTACGTTTTATTCCCTGCTAAAAATAACTTGTTACATCATGCAACAAAACAAGTTTAGGCAAAAAGGGGCTAGCGCGAGGCCAAGATATGACCTATCTAGCTAGGCCCTTAGGCCTACTAAACTAAAATTAAGGTGTTGTCTTCCTTTGATGCTTGAGTAAAGACTGATTTCTTTGCCGCATTTTTTATTTTGGCCTAATCATCACCAATATCAGTACCATGACTAAAGCCACCACCACCATCACTATCATAATCACCACTATCAATACAATCAACAGCACTATCACTACAACCACCACCACAACTATCATCATCACAACTATCACTACAATAATCATCACTATCACCATCGTATTATATCTATCATCATCACCACCACTATCACTACAATATCATCTCACTATCACTACAATTATTACCACCACCACTTTTACCACCACCAACATCATACTATGGTATTAGGTCTTTTGCAAAACAACACTTTTGACAACTGCTTAACCTTTTCCTTTTGAAAAGCATATTTGATTGACTACTTTATGAACAAATATTACTACTTACTATTTCAATTCTCTTAAGATAGATTTATGTAGATTGTTGCAGAAATCTTCAACTGATGATTGGTCAGTTTTTAAGACAACAGGTGCTTCATAGTCTGGTAGTTGGCCCTTTGGTTTAGTGTAGCTAAATATTGAGCATAAAAATAAAAATAATTAATATTGCAAAATTTAAATAACAAGACATACTGTACCATAAAGCCTGTATATCTGCTTCAATGGTGCTTGAGGCGCTCAAAGACATATCTATGGACAAAGAGAATAACGGAATGGATACCCAGAGAAGGGAAAAGGAAATGAGGAAGACAGAAACATAGGTGGACATACGGCCTTAGAATGTAAATAAATACTGGATTAGAAAAACATCAGAGAGAAGGAGGAGGTTGAAGATTTTAGAGAAGGGGTACGTTTAAAATGAAGTTAATTTTAACATACATTCGAACCAAATCCAGGTACTGCCATATTTTCTCCAATAAATCATCAAAGTTCCATTTGTGATGAGCAGAGATAGGTACACAGTGGGGAATCTTGTAAATAACATCTAGTTCCTAAAAGACAAAAGCCAACAATGCAAAATGTGTATTGCTGGCGGCTTTCTTTGTGTCTTCCTTTCACAAATTCATTTCAACCCCCAAAAAATGAAAAATTCATACTCATTAATGACTTATAAATAACATGAATCAACACTTCTCTTCATTAATTGTATTGCATTTTTAGGGTGAAGACTAGAAAGACCAACCTCTATGGAAATCTGATCAATCTTGTTGAGGACATAAATACATGGGATGTAAGCCCTGTTTCCCTCTATTACGTCTATGAGCTCATCTGTTGATGCATCATGGCGTAGTGTAATGTCCGCATTATGGATACGGTACTCGGATAAGATGGTTTTGACGGTGTCTAGGTCGAGTTGGGATTGTGCACATGTTGCTGTAAGGTTGATTCCTCCTTTGTCTTTCCTGCGATATGATATATTTGGTGGCTTCTTGTTCAACCTGTAAGTACAAATAACATCATATAATATAATGGCTTTTTTAAAAACAGACAAAATTAAGCTGAATTTCTGTATTTCATACTTATTGTCTTTATATTAATTAAAACCTTTGGTACTAAGTAATTATTTCAAAAAATAATAATATTAAAAGCAGTACTTCAAAAAAAAAAAAAAATATAAAAATAATAAGTGTAAAATAAAATGTACCAAAAATGACATGATTAACATAAATGATATTTTTACCTTTTTTAAAATGGAATTTCATGAGTATAACAACTTGTCTCACCTGATTCCAAAACCTTCCAACTCATGTTCGATCAATTTCTTATGCTTGAGAGGTTTCAAAACATCTAGGACAATTAGAATCAAACTGCAAGTTCTAGCAACTGGAATCAAGAATTTGAAAAAAAAATTATAATTAACCAAGCAGAATTATTATAACAGTTTTCACAAACAGAACAAATCCAATAATGAAATCACATTGCACTTTGTGGCTATTGTGCTTCAGACTCTTAGCCATGGGGGCAGTATTCAACTTACACACTAGCGAATACTCACAGAGTAGCGACAAAGGAAACATTGCATATAATTATTGTTACCAGTGACCAGGGCAATAATATTAAGCATTCTAAGATGTTTAGACATAAAAGTGCTAAACAAATCCCAACAATATTAATTATTACTTTTTAAATCTGAATTTACTATAGATGAAAATTACTAACCAGCAATGACCTGTCTACCACGACCTTTACCATCTTTTGCACCTTCAATAATACCCGGTAAATCAAGTAACTGCAATGAAAGAGCAAAAAAAATTATCAAAATACATGTCAAATTAAGAATCTTACAAACTCCCTATTTAACCATCCTCAAAAAATTGACACTCACTTCAAAATAATGATTTTAAAATGCACCAAATTTATGTTTTCAATACTTTTATAAATCAGTAATAACACTTAAATAAACCATTCACTTATATATTTATTCTACATTACATTACATACATATCTTTAAAAACAACAAATAATATATAAATGATAAAAGAAACATTTAACACAATCTATGGTTTTAGCAACAAAAAATGCAAAAAGGCCAATTATACAATGCTAGAAATTGAAAGAATTGTTGATGATGATGAGGCAGGCCTATTATTTTTTGTGAAGAGACATGTTGGGACCTACTATTACCTGTATTTTCGCACCTTTGTACCTGATGACACCTGGAACAGTGGTAAGAGTTGTGAATTCGTAAGCAGCTACTTCAGAATAAACTCCAGCGAGGTTGCTAAGTAACGTAGATTTACCAACTGATGGGAAACCTGATAAAACAAAGCATATTATAGATGCATATGGATTAGCCGACTGACCCTAAAAAATCGGCCGACCCCGTGTTTATTTGAATTTCATGATACAAGTTTATGTGGGCAAAGTGGGCGTGGTCGTGCGTCATTCATAATGTTCAAAAAAGGGGCGAAAAATACGACAATTATGGGCTTTAATGGTTTATTTAATTGATTATATAGATTTCATGGCCTTTGCTAAATATTGTGGAAGTAAAAAAAATCCCTACCTACCTACCCTACTTTTAAGACAACATAACATTTTTTGTTTAGGCCTTACTGTTGCTGTTCCTTTACTAAAGACAAATGGCCATCATTGACATATACTGATAAGAACATAATTATTACTTGGATAAAATAAAAAAGAAAAGAAATATCCAATGCTGTATCACAGTGTAAAACTTACCAACAAATCCTATTCGAGCATCACCAGTTTTAGCTACATCAAAACCTGAAAAAAATATAGCAATGCAAATTATATTTAATACAAATTAGTTAAATGTATAACTATTTTTAAGGAATCTGATTTTCTTGATTTACAGTCTAAAATCAGGAGAGGAGAAAAATACTTTATTAGGGATATGGATACAAAGTAAGTGTAAAAGCTATATATTATTAGGCCTATAGATTTTTGTTAAATGAAACTAAATTTTCCCAATCCATGTGAAGACTAGAAAAAACTGCTCAAACAAATTTTGTTTATAATTTTAATGCATTTAATTAAATATTTTATTATTATCAACACATGAAATAATATAAATAATATGAAAAATAACATTAATTTTTAAAAGGCCGGTATGATCATGTTACTATATTTTACCTTCTCCAGCAGGACCTGAGCCACCTTTAGGGGTAATTAGCTCCCTTCTTAGCTTGGCAAGACGTGCTTTAAGCAAACCTAAATGACTGCTAGTTGCTTTGTTACGTTGAGTTCGAGCCATCTGAAAATAGTGATTAACACATTGAGGTTTTAAAATAAGATTCATTTTATTTCAATGTCATACCGAATAGGTAAAAAAGATGACATTTGTTTTCCATAGCATAAGAATATAATAAGTGTAAAAACACATGCAGACTAACTAGCACATCAGTTATTATTGACTAGAATTGCACTGGAACAAAATGAGTTTTAATAGCCATTGTAAATTTACAATCACTTTACCAGGCCAACGAATCAATACGTAATGCATGAGTTATAATAGATTTTATCTTCATAAACCATTTCGACTAAATAGGCCTACATTTTTAAGACGGTGCACATATGGAATCAGTATCAAGTCAATCTTTCATACTATAATATATTATTATAAATATGCACAATTTAAAAATCATCATATTGTTTCTTGTCGTAATCCCAAGGTTTACTCCACCCATTAACTATAACAGCTTGCACCAGAAAGCTAGGCCTCTGAATAGGCATTTGACATTACAGCAGCCTACTGTCACTCACTGCAGCAGCAGACTGGCAGAAGCACCTGGCAGGCCTAGGTTCAACACATCTTAAACCGACACTTATTAGCATATTAACAGTACTTTTTAAATAAATTCGAAAAACAAAGGCATACGCTTACCTCTGCCTCGATCTCAGCAATTTTCTCCAAAATACCCATTGTTATTATACGGACACACAAACTGAGACGATCGAAACACACATTTCCATGCACAAAAAACTTTGGACAGACATCAGATATCGCAAATAAATTTCAAATATACAAAAAAAAATTCTAACAAAATTTATTCTCTATCTTTAAAACTTCAATACATAAAAAAAGAAAATGAAATTCATATATTTATATTAAATTTAATTATTAATTTAAAGTTTATTAAGTAAGAATAATTTAAGAGATTAATTATAGTTTTTGATTAATTCTTCCCACTATGCTTCGTAATCCAATATGTCTGCGCCCATGAGTTTCAGTGTGTTGATTTCTATATTGAAAATATTGTCTATGTTTATTACATTTTACTGTGTAAATCTAAGTTATTAGCATAACAATGGTATTGTTTAGTAATTTAAATATGTGTATAAGGACATTAGGAACGAATTCATTTACTAAATGCTGTGTATACATTCGTCGCTCATTAGCCACTGGCAAGGTAGCGTTCCTGCCAAGAAAACTTAAGCCAACGGCGCAGGGCCTTAGGACTAGACAGAGGTGTGGGCCCAGGCACCAAAATCTAGCACACCCTGAACAATCGAACTCGAAGATTTCGTCTGAAAAATATAAAGTCACGAATACAGAAAGAGGGACCTTGAGTTTCAAAGAGAAGAAAGATGATACAATTTATATTGAATTTGATGGTGCAAATTTAAAGAAAAACAAGAAAAATGTTGATAGTAGGCCTAGTACTGCGTCTGCAAAAGATGGAATAGGATCTGCAAAAGCTGCAGCAATGAAAGTTCGAGACAGTTTGGAAAGTGAGAATCGTAAGTACAGTATTTGACTGCAATTGTTCATAATTGCGTCCATTAATTAGGAAATATAGATGACAAAGGGAAAAACAAAAAAATTATTTATATTTAGGCCTACTTTATATACATACAGGTATTGTTATTTTTTTTTTCTCATTTCAGAAAAAAGGAAGAAAGTTGGAGTAAGCCATGACAGTAAAGGATTTAAGGTTTACACCAATGCTGTGCAGGATTTAAAAAGATTACCCCCAGGATTAGTAACTAGCATTCTTAGGTCCAGGGTGATATACAATGAAGGTTAGGAGAAGTACAGTAGTTTGTGTGTTTTTTTTTTGTTTGTTAATTAATTAATTGATGGATCATAAAATGACCTTTGTGATTTTTTTTCTATTGCAGGTGACATCATTGCAATTGACAAGCCTTATGGTCTGCCCTGTCATGGTAAATTTATTTCTCTCTTTACCACTTTGTCTACATCATCATTTTTGGTGAGACCTGGGCCAAATTCCTGCCTATTGATGATTTAAACATTCTGTGATTGGTTCAGGATAAAGTCTACATTAGACCAGTAGTGGCGCCAGTGAAGGAGGGGGACATTTCCCACCCCATCCCCTGTCGGACAGACCTGGACCAGGTCGTCAGATCAAAAATAATATTATTTTGATTGCCATTCTCTAATAATTGTGGTCTAAAAGAACAATTTGAGCTATACTAAGCCATAAAAACGCTACCAGGGTTTTTTTTATTCCAGTTCCAGTTATTCTAGTTGGCATCTTGATTTGGAAACCCGTCGGACATTTTGGACACCTGTCAGGAAATTTTTGGAGCCATGGGACAATGATTACAGCATTTTGGACTACCATTTACATTAAAAAAAATCATCCTTTTGTCTTTTGTTATATTATTTATTATAAAATAAAAAAGAATAAATAAATAAATAAAAAATAATGATATACAGGTAATGAGTCTAGTATGAGTAGTAGCTTTCCCCCATTGGGGGAAGGGGGAATATAGCGAAAGAAGATGATCTTTTTATGGAAAAGTAAATCACATCGTACCGACCTTGATATATTGGTTTAGTGTCAAATGCTCACATTATTTCAGGTGGTCCAGGAGTTGTGAATAACATTGAGGACATGTTGCCCCGATTGGTTAGAATGTTGCCAAGACAACATGAAGACTTTGCACTTCACATGGTACACAGGCTGGACAAGGAGACTACAGGTGTAATGCTTTTTGCCAAAACAGAAGAAATGAAAAGGAAACTGCAGGCAATGTTTAGAAATCATGAAATTATAAAAAAATATTGGTAAGACATTCAAAGTTCTATACCATGTTTTTAATTTAACTTGGAATTAAAAATGTATTGATATTACTAATTTTATTACAGTGTTTAATATTTGTTTGGAAATCATAAAACATTTCTAAATTCAAGACAAAATATATTAATTTATTTTATTTATCAATTTACATCAGGGTTATAACTGTGGGTGTGCCAGATCCAACTGAAGGTATGTACATATAAATTATATTCTGTTGGTGAATAACGTATTTACTTTCAAAGCTAAACATAGCCTTAAGACCTTTTCTCCATTAATAATATGGATGTATATCTTTGTAGGAATTATTGATATTCCAATGATAGAGAAAGAAGTTGAGGGAAAGCATTGTGTAAGTATACAGTATCCTGTTAAAATGTAAATATCCTTGATTGGTTGGGGCATGTTTATATCTAATGCAACATATACAATCACATGAGTACAACATTGCATTTACAGTATAACTTATTAAGGATTGTCATTGTATTAATAAAACATTCTCTCTTCTAGATGGGTTTAAAACCGGATATTGGTGCTGTCTACAAAGAATTCTGGCAGAAACAGAATTCTCTTGGTGTAAAGTCTGTGTCAAAGTTCAAAGTTCTTGATCAGCACAATAGCTCAGCCCTTGTACAAGTGCAAGCAGTTACTGGTAAAAACTAATTTCATATTCTTTTATTTATTTTCTGTTTATATGTTGGTGGTTTAATTGCTATAATAAATGCAACACTTCCATAAATATTTATGTTCAAGTTTTACTTTGTTTTGTATGTTTACATTTGTAAAACTATATAATTATACTGTATTTCTGTTTAAATTTAATTAGGTGTCAAGCATCAGGTGCGTTGTCACATGGCATTTGGACTTGGTTGCCCAATATTAGGTGATCACAAATACTCGCATTTGAATAAGATTGCCCCACAGGTAAGTTTACATCACATTATAAAAATGATGGTTAGAAATATAAAGGTGGTTATGATTATTGACAAATATGCTATAAATAAGTGAATAACTATTTCTTAAAATTAGTAGTACTAAATTTACCTGTTGTTATTTTCAAAACATTAAAAGAAACTATTTAATACAAATTACAGGATTGAACTCTCTTTATGTAAGTCTCATTATAAGGCTAATTTTTCTTGTTTCCTAGAAACTTCCATCTGACATGCTCCAGCGGTTAAAGCTTCGACAGGCCAAGGTTCGGACCATGCCAATGCATCTCCATGCACACCAGATTATCCTACCAGACTTTTATAAAGGTCGCAACCTATCCATCTCAACTCGATTGCCACGCTTCTTCAACACGAATTTATCGCAGCTAAAACTTAAGGTTTAATAGACTCATTCCGCTTGGTTGGTCATGTGACGTATAGTGGGTACCAATTGTAAACGCTCGTTATAGGAGAACGCGTGCATTCTTCAGTGTGTTTGTAACTAAACCAAATTGATTGGAAATTTAAATTGAGATTTTGGCATAATGGTTTGGTAATGCTCCAAGAGATACTAGCCCTAAACATGGACATTTTTCGAGAAATGCTAGGCCTAGGCCCCTGCATGTCTACGGCCTGTTTAGGTATGCTCTAGCGTCTTCGATTCGTGAACTGCGATTTTGATACTCTACGATTTCTAGGCTAGCTTAGGTTTACAAAGGATCACATACATTCAAAAGCATACAAAGCACATTGAACGCTAGAATAAGTAAATAAACACTATTTTGAACAATCGTACTGCCTTTTCTTACCAGTCATTTCTCGCGTTAAACCATAACATTACCCTTTCCAATACACTGATTGTACTGTAAATTCTCCATAGTAATACCCACTATATGTCATGTGACCGGCTGTAAACAAACAACGCGGAATGTGTCTATTGATTAAACATATGACTGGGGATATACCCTCCCTCAGTGGCAACAAAAAAAAACAAAAAACATTCTCTCTTGCTAATATGACATGAAATGATTGATGTTTGTTTTGCTCAGTGGCAGCTTCAAAGGGGACCGATTCGGCCCATGCCCCGCGCTAAATTTGTTAAATTTTCAAAAAATATGGCCATCTAAAGGTGCCACAACCATAAATTTTCTTATCTTAGCACCAACCATGGTGGGGCCAAGATGATCTAGACCCTCCATCTGTGAAAGTCCATCCCTGGGCCCCCTCTGTTTTGAACTCTTGGATCCGCCACTGTTGCTGTCTGCATGCTTAACTATTGATCAGAAATGTTCCTGCCATTTCTTGAGTACGATTCAGGGGAGGATGCAGAGAAAAACTTGGAATGGGGCCATGCAAAGTACAAACCACTGAGTAGGGGTGCGTGCTGGTGTTCACAAATGCTTCACCATGCACAGGTAATTGAAAATTTAAAATTGAATATTAGCTTGTTTTGTAGTACCACGCTCCACTTTTTCTCTTTCTTTTCTCTTTTTTTCTTTCTCTTTGGGGAGTGGGGTCCTATGATTCATGCGCTGTAATACAATTAATATGAATAAAACAATAACAGATTTTTAAATGTTTTTGTTTGTATTTATTTCTATACAATAATACTTTGTAGAAAAAAACCCCAATATAAATGATTTTAAGACCCAAAGCTTAAAATCATGTATATGCTAATATATTTAACATGATGTTGTCCAGTGTGCCAGACCCAACAACAGACATTTACAGTATTTAACATTCTTAATACACAATTGATTCTTTGGCAAAAAATTACATGCAAACATTTCATTCTGTTATGATTACCAGCATAATAATAGCAGTCTCACATGATTACATCATACATTTCTTGTGAGCCCATATTCTACCAACAGACACTAGTTTACTGTCGTAATTTACTGTATGCAGGACATCAATGTGATGTAAACAAGCGGGAATACCAATTTATTATATTATACAATTCTTTACAAAAAATATGTAGCAGTTTTCAACTGATTAAAATTTGGAAGAGTTGGCATAAAGTACAGTATTTAACATTATGAAGTGATCACAACACTCAAAAGTTCTGATTGGTTCCTGCCAAGGCCTTGTCTTACATCAAGATTAAAAGCATGTATCTTAATCTGAAATACCAAATATTTTGCAAGATCGGCACCCTCATTGGACCAGCCAAGTCCTATTAACAATAATAAACAGCACCATGTCCATCCACATTATTAAAATATTCAGTTGCTTTATTTACTTGTTTGCATACATATATACACATTGATAGCAGGGATATTAATTATGGTTAGAATTTAAAAAAAAACAAACTTATTTATTATTAGTTTTCCTATACAACTGCACTTTGCCCATATAAACAAGAAAAGTATAATAAAATTTTGATAAATTGCATTATACATTTTCCACAAATCAAAAGTTAGCTCTGTTTGCATTAGGATCAAAAGATAAATATAGCATTTCAACAACTGATTTGGTAAAGCTTAATATTTTTTAATATTTTGTTTCTAAAGTTATAAAATTTACTAGTAAAGTTACTGTTAAAATATTTTAAGTACTTAAATTTATATAGATTCAGAATTAAATTTAAATCTAAAATTGTAAATAATTTGATATAAAAGAAGAGAATATATACAAATTAGTTGGTTCTAGAATATTAAGACGATTTATAAACTTTATATTAAACTTCACAAATAATTGTCTATGAAGTATGAATAATAGGTTTTATAAAAAAATACATCGGTTATTAGAAAGTATAAGAAATCAAGGTATACAGAAATGAAGGAATGTAGTGAAAGAATGAAAATTAGTTTTGGAAAATTTAACACCCTGCTTAGTAAACAGCGAACCACTAACTGGCCTGATGCTGCTTGAAACCCAAAAGCGGGTCATTAACCCCTATTGCATTCATATAAAAAATCAAACACTGTAAAGACATACTGCTTGTGGTATGACAAGAAATATCCTTGGAAAACACTTTAAATGGCTTTAATTTGAATTAATTACAATAAAACAAATAAAAAAACCTGCAATAAGACAAATATAAACAATTCAATTTTTACTGATGTGCAGATTTTTTGACTAAACTACTTAAATTGATTGCCAGCCAACTTAAGGATTGATATGAAGAATGTGAACAGCAGAAGTCATATATCCTTTAATTAGCGAAAACATATGTTCTTTGTTCTCATATTTAACTGAAACATAATAACTTACTTTCAAGTTAAGAATTAAAATTGTTTTTTTTTTCAAAATTATTATCTTGAATCAGATGGTGTCTTTAATATGCTAACAACCGTGGATTGTTTTTAATATCACTGACTGTCAGCCAATAGCGTCGCGCTGTCAAGTGCTCAGAAATGGATTGTATGACTGCTGTACAACACAATGTGGGCCCAGCTTAAAATCTACAGGAAAGACATAAGATATGACATACCTGTTCCAACAATTAAAAAACAGTACACAAAAAAGTTTCTGTACTGCATAAAATTGTATTATCTATTAGAAAATATCCACCAATGATACTAATATAAAGTTATGATTTGACATCATAGGTTAGGACATAAAATAAATTAATTTCTACACATGCTATGAATAAATAAATATAAATGTTACTGTTTGAACTCCAACAAACATACAGCCTTGATAAACAAAAAAAAGGCAGATTTAAATTGTTCCTAATCAGACAAATGGCACTCACCTTCAAGTCCAAAAGTCATCGGTTCAATCACAAAAATTTCCAGATTTGATCATTACTACTGAGTACATTTTTATGGTTAATTTTATGAGCCATTTACTGATGTACACACTGTTTATTAAAGTCAACTTGTATTTATGGATTAGCATTCAATTACAGGTAGTAAAATTTATATGATACTGCTATAATTTAGGTCCACAGAGGTAAAAGGTAGGCGCAGCCCTCTGTTAGAATTCAATTCATCGTACATTGCTTGGACACAGGGATCTGCTGTTTTTGTCTATAGATTGGTGTAACATTATTCGGCCTGACTCAGTATTAGATACTACATCCTCAACTGTCTTGAGAAAAATACTTCACACAGTTAGGCCTTGCTCCTTATTATACTTTAAGCTAGCTCACTAAAACCTAAGGAAAATTATTTGTTATATTACTATGCCTATATTATTATCCTAAAAGCAAGGTAAAATGCCATAATCTTTATCTTGAAGTAACAAATGATGATGAGTTGTTCGACATTTGAACAGGAGCAGCAGTTTTTGGCGAAGTTGGTAATGGTTTCAACTCGATACCGTTAGATTTTCAAGTTTTTTTGAAAGACGGGGTTTCCCATATTCCAATTGCACACTCAGAGAATTTAAAGCACCTGACAGGTCATCGAAGCTAGGCCTGAAATAAAAACAAAACATTATAAGTTTTATTTCCAATTGTGCAAGGGAGGAATTGCCTTTCAACCAGACAAGCACACATCCTGATGGACCGGCGCACCAGGATTTTATTCCCGGGCACTAACCAAGGCTTTAGACTGGCCCCTTGGTTCAGATCCCTCTCAGAGTTGTTGGACCCCTATTGGCAGGAATCTGGAGCCACCATTGAGCCAGAATCAACTGACAATGATGGACCAGACATTGTTCAATATACAGAAATGTCGTCCAATTTGCAAACATGGAATGACATGATTTGTAAGATAGCAAAACAGACACATAAAACTCTGATAATGCTTGAGAGTCACTTACAGTGGGGCAGGGGAAGAATTCCTACAAAAATTGCAATTAGTCTTATACCTGTTATCTGATTCTAGGTCACAGCATTCCTTAACAAACTTTATTAATTGTTCAGGGCAACCAACACCAAACTTCTGCTGAAACACTGGAAGATTTAAACCAAAGTCATGGCGGCGTGGAAGAATATCAGGGTCAGCGCTAATGCGACCAATCAACTCGCAGAGTATTATGCCGAACGAAAACACATCTACTTTTTCATCATATTTTTGGCCTGCAAAACAGAGAATTAAAAATACCTTATAAAAATAGCTAATCATTATATACATCAATCTAAAAAAAAAGTATCTCAGCCAATCATGCTTACAAGTCATCATCATATTTCATAAATATTATTAGTAAAATAATGCCAACCACTATTATTACTTTGACTAAGTTTTTCCTATTGTATTGTATTCTATTCTTCAGTATATAAACGACATGAAATATTAAACCCCAAAAATGTAGAAGTACTGGGATGATGGTCGGTTGGGGATAGTTTTATCCAACTTTTGCATTCCATCTGTTCCTCTTGCCTTGTATGCATTTTTGGTTATTCTTTTTTGTATGTTATGTAAATTTTGTTATTCTTCACTAGAATTTCAACTTAAACTTCAAATAATATTACTAATATTATTTCTACTATATCATTATTCTTATTACAATTATTACTACCAATACAATTATTAGTTTTGCGCATAATTAAATATTAGTTATTGTGACATGCACCTCTCTTTACCCAAGTATAGGGTGACAGATTACTATTATCCTATTATTATTAACATTTATTAATTTATTATTAATATATCTGTATAATTCATCAATACAATTCATTAAAATTCATCAATTTATTACTATTACCATTGTTGATATCTCTTTTTCATTATAATTATCAACTTTATTATCACATTATTATCATTAATAACTATTCTTATTATCAATATCAATATTATAAATTATTTAAAATTGGTAATATCGAACATTGTGTAAAATTAAAAATACAAATGCTTTTCCCCTCAAAGTAGACAAGATTTTTATCCTAGTTAAAATTTAAAAGTCTTTATAATGCAATATTTCCACTTAGATTTCCAACAGCAAGACTGCATGTCCATTTGCTGTTATAGTCACCTCGAGTCATTTCCTGGCTCAAGTGCACTAACTTCCTTCCATCCTAACTTGTTATATTTAATCCCTTTTTATATAACTTTACACACTCTATCCAGCTCAATAAACATTACTTCCTCATACATAATATAGCATTGATTACTATTTTCTAATTTTGATGATTAAAGAACAATAGCATTCTCAGACACAGGAAAAAATATGCAATTACAAACCAATTGTTGGTACAGAAACAAAAAGAGAAACCAACAGGGCATTGATGGTTTAATAATGGGATGTGGTTAATTGACTTGTAATATATTAAAAGATTCCTAATACCTACTGATTACCACAAAGGTTAATGCAGTAAACAGATTAATGATGTATTCATTCATTCATTCATTCATTCATTCATTCATTCTGGTATCTTATTCAATTTAAAAGTATTAGCAGTAAAAAACAAAAATTATATTGAAATTTATTTGAATGGTCCATCAAATATTACACTCAACATGGTTTGAGGGGATGTAATGCGAGGCAGAAGGAGGCAGTCCCAATCATCCAACAACGAGGGCATTAGAATTCACTGCTTTACTGAAATAAAACCATGTTGTATTTGTTTTACTATACCTCATAAATATTAAACAGCAAACTGTCTATACACATTAGCCATTTTCTATCTGTAAGGGTAAAATTTTGTAGTTTGCATACGACAGGGGTGCAGCAGTGTCCTTGCATACATGTAAATTTGGCAAGCACAGGGAAGTAGTAGAAACTACCGCACTCCCTACCAGGTGGAATTGACCAATTATTTTTTTATTACCTAATTAGTATTTATGTGATACAATAAAATAAAATACAGTACTAAAGTGATGAGACAAGAAAATTGTGTAGATGGAAGTGTGATCATGGACTTATTAATATGGTTTAATTAAAGTTCCATTGTTTTATAAATGGTATTGCACTATTGCTGACAAATATAATGTAAGAAACCCATTTGTTTGACACGAACCTAACAAGAGGTGGAAAGACATAAACCTAACCCAACAAGCTACAGTTCCTATCTACCTTATGTTGTTATTTTCAAATAGTAATTTATACTTACCATTGAGCATTTCTGGTGCCATCCAGTAGGGGTTTCCGACAACAGTGTACCTTTTCTTCCTTCCCCTACCCAGAGAATTTGTCCCCATCTGGCCAAGCCTTGGATCTGTCTTATCCTCTACCATGATACGGGCAAGACCAAAGTCAGCAACAACAACAGAACCATTCCCCCGAACCAAACAGTTTGGAGAATTTAGATCCCTATGAATTATGGACCTTGAGTGAAGGTAGCACTATAAAAAATAAAATCATTATTGTTAATAATATTCTTACTATTATTTACTTTACTCACATGAGTATTTCAAGAGAATATAAGAACATACACATACATGCAAGCAAATGCTACTCTATCGGTGGCGCAACCAGGGGGTTTTTTACGGTGCCTGCACATCCTCCTTTCTGTTCAAATGTCAAAAAAAAAAGTAAATTAATGGAAATATATGGCAAAGTCCTAGTTTGGCACCTTGTGTACAGTGGGTGTAATTATTTCTATTTAGCCCCCAAAATCTTGGATATACCACTGTCTGCAGAAAATGAATATAATTAACAGCAGATAGTAATATACAGTATGTATATGGTTTTAAGCTGTTTTCTACTTACCATGCCAACTGCAATATCATGGGCATGTTTTGTCTTGGCTAAATTTGACAGCGGTTTATTCTGTAATAATTAAAATATGAGACGGTCAAGGAACATTTAAAGTGTTTCAATGTTATGACTCAAATTCAAGCATCAAAATAAAAGAAGTTAATTAAGGTTGGCTTACTTCCACTTAAATTCAAATTATACATATTATATAAAATAATTAATAATTGACTAATCACATTGTTAAACATTACATATAATAAAACAGTTACAAGAACAGTATGTTAACACAGGTTGCATCCTGGTCGTTGTAAATATTTTCTTTGTGTATTTTATATTGAATATCAATAAAGAATGATCGTAATAATTAAAATTGTAGTAAAATCTAGAGATTTTCTAAAAACTGAAAAATCCTAGATATTGTAATAGAAACATTTAATGGTTTTGTTTGTTTGTTTTTTATTTGTGAAATCAATTCTATTAATCTTGGATTTAAAATTCACTTGTGTTTTGAATACTAATACAGTACAGTAGCAATTGTTGTAATGCATGCTATGATCAGGCTAAAAGGCTTTCAATTAAATTGTTCTCGCATGTCAAAATACGATAAGTACTGGGTTCACGTCACATGACATACATAATGACCATCTGACTTTTTGACTGAGATACACATCAATGGGGCAACTGAGCTTATCTTGCATTATATTAATTAGATTATAGGATATAAAACAAAACCAGTAAACTTTCAATTTGAGGTTTCTAAGTTTATAATGTCACCCTGAATGATAATATTGTGTAGAGATATTCTTTTCATGGAGCTTATTTCAATAGTTACTGATTTTGCATTTATAAGAATTTAGGTTAATAGTTAAAAAATTATCCATATTCATCTATGATTATAAAATCTTTCATGGAAGCGTAATGATGATGAAACATTTATTAAATATAGGAACAGCACTTTAAAAATAATGACATATATTTAGTCCACAAGTTTTACTACTAACACAAGTTCTTCAGGTGATATATCTTCTTTTTTGATTTATTTGCTTTAGGTGATATATCTTTTTTAGTGATTTATCTGCTTTAGGTGATTTATATTTGTATCACCTGAAGAAGCCTACATGTAGTGGTGAGTGTCTAGAATAAATATATATCATTACCGTAGTTTAAAGTGTTGTTTCTGTATTATTTATTAAAATGTTTATAATAATCACACTATAATGCTAGCCAAGGCAACTTAGTGTACCTATGAGACTAGTGATTTTCTATTGTCGGCTAAATTTTGACTTTCATGAAGAATAATCATTATCAATATCATCATGATTATTATTGCTATTACTAGATACTATAATTATTACTAAATAAATATTATAATACTATTACTTTACTACCACTATTATTATTATTATTTATTCATTCATTAAGTCTGTATTACAGGTATGATATTGCTACAACTACAAAAAGTATTGTTTTTGTTGCTGAACAAAGACAATGTCTTTCTTTTAACTTTAACTGAGAGGTCAATGGTTCATTGGTATGTAAACAGCTATAAATGAAATGAAAGTTTGATATTATTGGTACAGAATTAATTAATTAAAATACATGTAAATATTCATTGTAAATGTGTGATGTTCGTTTATATTAGAGATGGATGAACATGCTAACAGACAAAATTGTTCTTGGCTCTCTACTGCCATGCTAATTTTATATATTCTAATTTTAAACATTTGCTTTTTTTAAACATTTAATAGGCCATTCAAAGGTTGATATACTTGAAGTTAACTTAGTTTAACTATTTTTATCTAAATAAGCACTGCCAAGAAAATTTCAAATTCACACAAACGTCAACTATTAATACTTAAAAAAAAAAATGACTTTGCTTAGTCATAAAACGACAATACTGTTAAGAGAGTTTGCTATAATTTTCTTCTCGTTGAAGATTCTAAGATCCAAAAGGAAGAGAACATCAAAGTTAAGACTTTAGTATTAGCTTTAATTGGCATTAAATTTGATATTATTTGTATTAAACTTTGTTTCCCACACAAAACAATTGATTTGATAATGTCTAGTTACAAGAGTGCACTAATATGTCAAGGGCATATATACAGTCATTTGGGAATGTCGGCATTTTATAAATACTAATTAGGACATTAATTATTGGTAGCCGCATTCAGCTAATATACACCATGAATTATGTCCATGGATGAGGGCAAAAATTCAATTTAGTTCAAAAGTAGGTGCCTAGTAACTATAAGGCCCAATAAAAAAATGATTAGTTTATCACCCTTGCCTGCAGAGTATTGAGAATTTTTTTTTTTTTTTTCAAAAATTTTTTTTTTCATGCTTTAATAAATAGTTAGTAGATATTGTTTGTACAATCATATATTTTATGAATATCAATGCACCAGCAAACAACCCAAGGGTGATACTTGGCTTTAAGAAAAAAGAAAAAAAAAATCCTCCCTCCCTCATCACATTCCCAGCCCATATAGGGTGATAAACTAATAATTACTTTTGCTGACATATTTAAAAATTAAATGTGACATGCAAAATTCATAAAATACATGATTTTAAATTCATACACAAAATGTTAAATGAACCAAGATTAGAATTATCTGACAAAGAAGAAAAATAAGTTGACTAAGACAAGAATGGTACAAGCCAAATGACTATCGATGTCATCGGCTAGTCTCAATGACTTTAGGCTTGATGTGGGTAGTCACCCAGGGCTAACAAACATGGTAATATGATATGTACATATTCCTAAAAAGAATGGCAAGCTTTTAAAGAAGTAGTTTCCCAGGGTATCTATATCTGAAATCTAATGCACTTCATATCCACTTCATATAATTCAAGAATGTTTTGCTGCCAAATTTCTAGGGAGACCATGACATTAGTTTTCAAAGTGAAATCAATTAGAACATTACTCAAATTAAGACTGACAGGTAATAGCTGAAATTGATAGGTTTACAGTTGACAGCTTTATCAGATTAGGCCTTCTATAAATACATTAAAAATTATAGTTCTAACCATTTAAAATTTCTGATTATATTTCATCTATTTACTCAGATGTTTGCTTAAAAACATCTATTATATTCACTATTGGCAATAAACAAAATAAAAATACATTTAAATACTTACTAAATCATTTATGATATCACGTAATGTTCCACCAGATATATATTCTATAAAAATAGAGATTAAACAGATTATCCTTAATAACAAGCTCAATTAAACCCTGATGAATTAGATTCTTTGTAAAGCTGAGCTGTAATGATTTCCACATAGTTGGATCATGTGAGTATCTCAGTGGCGTAATAAAGTCCCTGGCCCGGGATTTATCAATCTCAGCTTAGCAAATGTCTTAAGTCAAAAAAGTTAAGATGTCTCTAATAAATATCTTAAACTGATTTATTACCCAATCTTAGCAAATTCTTGGCTTAAAATCGTCCTTAGATGGCGCCAACGTACAATCAACTTTCTAAATTTAAGCAATTTTTAAGCTAAGCAATATGGATAAATTTGACTTAAGACGAATTTAAGCTGATTTCTAGTTTGATAAATCTGTCCCCCGGTCCCTACTCAAAAGAGGGCCCTGAGCTCCTCCTACCCAACACAGTAATATAAATCCTTGACTAATCTTTTCATTTTTTCGTGAAGTTAGGTATGGAGATTACCCACTCCTCGATGTCTTCAGGGGCAAAAATACTTTCCTGACATGCCAAGGGCCCCAACATTTTCTATCCCCATGCCTTGCTAGTCATTATTCTATTGCACCACAATGAAGGTAACTGGCAATACAGATAAGACATTATATCCAACGACTATGAAATCTAGTTGCTTATGACTCAGACACAGGATAATATCCAGTGTCATTAGTACTAAAAACATTTTTTTTTATTAACATTAACATATCAATTCGAAAGGTTTATATAATTTCGCATAGTTTAATACACCCTGTAATTTACCTGCTGTTCGATAAAGAAATGAATTCAAAAATTTTTTTAAAATAATTCTGATAAACATTGGAATTATTGATTAACTGATTGATTGATTGATTGATTGATGTTACCTGTGAGAAGGTTTAGCTTTTTGTCTCGATACATAACTCCAATAAATGGTAAAACATTTGGATGGTCCAAGCTTCTTAATACTTTTGCCTGAAATAAATAAAAATTAAGATTAGGTATAATAATATTAACATCCATCTCTCTAACTGATTGACAATTGATCCAGAAAATCTCATATATTCAGGTACAGAAACGCACAATTAACAACAAAATTATAAAGATAACACAAAAAACCTACAGACTTATTTGAGGTCTTCACAAACCAAAAACTGTTACAATATGAATCAAACAAAATAACAATTTTGATTTAATATACAGTTTGAATTCCTATTTAATAATAAACATGCAAGGTAAAATAAGCATACCAATAATAATCATTGGCAACATGTACTTACTTCTTTAAGAAAATTTTTCTGTGCATCATCATCAAATCGAATGAGTTCCTTTAACACCATGACTTCACCAGTCTGCCGATGGGTAACCTAGCAACAAAAATGCGAGATGAATAATAATAATATCTACAACAATATAAAGCATAAGGATTCAAATCGTAATGAATGAAATAAATCAGGACACATTAGATCAAAGTCAACTGTTGATCAAACTTGTTTACTGTAGTCACACAGCTATGCTTACTCAGACATTTAAATAACAACATTGACTATGGTATCTTCTAGTTGGATTTTTAATATGACAGAAGCTTTTAAATACTGTAATTAAATTAGCTCCCAAGAACAAATCCTTTTTCTATTTGATGACTAAAATTTACCTTGAAAAACAAAAACAAAACATAACCATACTGTATGGCTAATTCAATGCAAGGTTACTATCATGTAAGCATTGACAGGAAAGGAGAGGATAAAATACTGGAGTATCACATCCATGAAAAGTGAATTAATGATATGAATAAAAATTTGACAAGAGAATAAATGGTAATTTAAAAAAAATAAAATTACTAACATTGTATTTATAGTAATTCAGTATTTATAGTACTAATTAAAGTTGGCATTTACCATGTCATGCAACTTGTAGATTCTAATAGATGAGTTTCTTTAGGGATAAATTTTAAAATGGTTCCTTAGGGATAAGAGCTTCACAGTTAAAAAATAGCTACACTGTTATTTCCTTACCAACAGTGTTTGACAATCAATCAATCCTACAATATCTAATTAATTGGCTGGCTAGTCAGGGGCGGGTCCAGAATTTTTTAAACAAGGACACAATGGTATATATATTCCCCCAGACATTTCCCCCTGACATTTTCCCCGCCTTTTGCCTCCCCAGGACAAATCCCCAGACTTTTGTTCCCCTCACCCCCCCTTTACTGTACATCATGCGTTAAATAAAACAAGAATTTAAATACAAGGAATACATCATGATTTATCATTCTTTTATATTAAATCATTATTAAATCAACTGCACAAGTAACAGCAACATTTACATGGAAAATATTTATACAACTATAGTCAGCAAAGTATCTAAATAATATAAAAATTGAATTACCATAGAAAAAGTAAAAACTTACAAAAGCTATAATTTTTACATAATTATTTTAACTAAAATACTTTTGGTTATTTATTTTAACTCATTTAATAATGTTATCCATATAGAATAAAAAAGGTTATTACATTTACTCTTTATAGTTACTGTATTACATTTTCATACATTTGCTCTATAACCATAAAGGGGGGGGGGGGGTGCCAAACCAGCCTAGAACTGTGTTCAGTATATGCTGTTAAGAAATATTGTAAAATCTAGTATTTGTATGCAATTTTGTATTTTTTCTTTTAAAAGAATTTAAAAAAATGCAGTGGCAGAACTGGGTGAATGTGCTCCCCTTGCTCCCTCCATTAATCCACCTCTGCTGACTGATCAAGAAAGAGGTAAAAAGTACAAATGAGATGAGAACTATGTCATTTAATAAAATAATTAAGTAATATCACACTTCAGATCCATTTGTTTAATTAGATACAAGAATGGGCAAGAGTTATTTTTGTAACCACATATGTACCTGTAATTGTGGTAATTCATTAAAAGTCCTGATATATTAATAGTAATGGCATTGTTATGGTTAATTTCTGCAACGTCAAAGCATCCCACAACCAATCACAACAATGAGAGCACAGGATATCCCTCATTAATCTTTTAATTTCAAGCTTTCATATATACTATATTATACAGTATGATATTGAAAATGTAAATATCCTGTGCTCCCATTGTTATTGGTTGTGCTGATTTGAACGTTGTACTGTAATTTAGCATAACAAGTCAAAACAGGCAAGAAAATGGTGTTGAAATGTAAACATCCTTTGTTTTCCATGTTGTAATTGGTTGTGCTGAGGTGAACTTTGTACTGTAATTCAGCATAGCCAATCAAAATAGGAAAGCAATGGTGTTGAAAATATAAACATCCAATGCTTTCCATCTCCTGATTGGTTGTGCTAAAGTGAATTCTGTACTGTCATTTAGCATAGCCAATCACAACAGGTGAGCACTGTTAACATTCTGTGCTCTCCATGTTGTGATAGTCATGCTGCATGTACAATCATAAACATTTTCATCATGACAGTTAGGATACAGAGTATCTGTGCGTAGACAATCACATGACCTGACCTTGTAAGTACCAACTTAGTGCTTGAGATTCCCAATATTATGAACAGCATGACACATCATGCTATCTATGTCCTACCCCAAGCTTTTTAAGGTACACTGCCAAAAAATTACTGATGCGTGAAATATTAAGTTGGAATGAAACAGGTGGAGGAAAATGATAACTCAGCAGGAAGCCAGTGCCATCTGCTATGTACAGGGTACTAACAACTTGGCATGTTTTACATTATTTTCATACTTCACTATATAGCAACATCAGCAAACATTAATCCCATTATTTCATACCCAGGGCCCAAAGTGAGACAGGATATAGAATCATTGGTTAAAATTTGTATTTCAAAGGTAGATAAACTTATTATAACAATTTGAGCTGAATTAAAACCATTTTAATATATTTTTTTAGGAGCGGTTTGGCGCAGGAGCAGCGGTTGCACTTTTCAATTTTGTGGTCAGAGTTTCAACCCCTCGCTGTGAATTTCCTTTGTGTCCTGGGCAAGGCACTTTACCTATAGTTGTCTCTCAACCCAGGAAGTACTGTACAAGTGGGTACCTGGTTGGTACACAAAAGGCACTGATTATACCTGCACCATTATGGAATTCTCTCCCCCCCCACCCCCATAGAGGTATCTACAATATGCGACCATTATTGCATTATTATATTATTATTATTGTTACAAAGAGAAACAATATATTTACTGATTGCATCCTAAATTTTGAATGGTTATAATATAAATATTTGCAATTATTTATGTTTAAATAAAAAACCCAAAAAGTGTTTATTTCTATCCAACACAAACTATAACAATAATATTAACTGGATTATCTATGAATTTACAGTAAATCTAAACACCTTCACTGAACTATACAGTAGTAGCTGAGTTGACGTACAAATCAAACTATAGTCCAGTTAACTTGGACTATGAAAATCCAGTTTAACTAGATTAAAGTTTGATGAGAACTAGGCTAATAATGGTTATAAGAAAGGCTTCAATGAATTTCCTCTTCTACTTATGACTTTATGTGGAATATGACACAATGGTTTAATTAGCAAATGGTGCATTATACATTTTGAGTTAACACAGAAACATATCACACTGCACATGTAAATTCATTGAATGTATGAGTCATGCAGCTAGGTCACATGCCGCATGTGCTCGAAACGCAGACGAAAGAGTGAAATTGTCCTCCCGATTTTAACATAAACATTAATAAATTTCTTATAAGTTAGGTTAAATTTCACCCTGTTGAAATCATTATGAAATATCATACCACCTTCATATCCATGAAGAATAAGTGTGTGCATGACAGAAAAAGTAAGCTATGCTTTTCCGATATCAGGCACACAAATATAATTTGGGAATTCGTAGTGTGCATAAATAAGGTAACTACAGAGGCATTACTGCATCTTCTATGTAGTATTGTGTAGTATTCCTTACCTTAATAGCCTGTCCAAAAAACCCTTTTCCAATAATATCTCCTTTAATAAGATCTGTAGGTCGAAATATACAATGGTTCTTCATTCCCTTTTTAATTGAGCTTGAACGTGAAAATGTAAACCTGGAAGGCGATTTAGGCTCCTCACTTGAATTTCGACGGCTAAAACAAAAATAACGAAAAGTTATGAGCATTTATCAAAACCTGAACCTTACTGGCAGGATATATCATCAATATTCAGTAGTATTCATATTATTTCATATCATATATATTATATATAAAATGGTTGATTAAAAACACTTTAATGACTTAATTGACACATTGATATTTATTGACACGAATATCAATGTCTCAATTAAGTTATTAAAGTGTTTTTATCATTTTATCAACCATTTAATATACAATATATATCATATGAAATAATATGAAGAATGCTTATCAGCATATATAGTGTGTATGACTCTCAACACAGTAAATATTTGTATACAATATTTGTATAGGGTAGCTACTGCTCCCTTCATCAGTGTGAGTATATGATGGAGGTAGCAGCTGCTGCCTAAACTTTCAATAAAAATTAATAGAAATATCAATGGAGTCATTTAATGGATATGAACAACTTATTTCCTGTAGGCTATAACGTTCCTGGCCTCAAGATATTTGTAATTTAAACTACAATTCCACAATTATCCCTTGATCTACTAAAATCTACTGAATAAGCCTAGCCCTATAGCTACCTACCATTCAAAATTTTTCAGTAACCTGAGAACCTTCATAAAGCAACAGTTCTTCTGTGTGCTGGAACTCATTTTCTACACGTTCCTAATACAATCACTGTCAAAAAGTTCTGATCACAAACCTTTACTCGAAACATAAACAGTCACATCACAGGATGCTATTACTCACGTTATTTCCCAACCGTGAACACCAGAGGACCCTGGGAAGACCCACTGAAGCTATTAGCCAATCAGCTGCTTTAGAACCAATTGGAGGGAAATTACTGCTTTATAGTAGTACTGTTCATGAAATAACATGGAAAGAGTTTACACTGCAGCAACTCCCCAATTATTAAATTCATCAATCTAATTATAAAAACGGTACATTAAATTGAACCTAAATTTTTCAGATTTACAATTTTTAATGCTTGCTTTTTTCATGAATTTGTCTATCCTGAACATTTTAAAAGACAAACATTTTGAGAGTAATTATGTTGTGAGGGTAACCTGATGAGTTGCGGAAGGGCTGCTGAATCTGAAGAATTCGATCCAACTCGGCCACAAGTCAACTCGGCCACAGTCAACTCGGCCACAAGTCAACTCGGCCACAAGTCAACTCGGCCACAAGTTAACTCGGCCACAAGTCAACTCGGCCACAAAAAGTAAAAAAATATATTTACATTATGTATGATTTGCTTACTAGAAAAACAATTCCCACTCCTATCACCTTATTATAATAAATACATAGTTTAGACATTGTTATGCTAGCTGCATTATACCTGTACATTCCTTGTTTATACAGTGGCGGTCCTAGAATACACATCCAGGAGGGAAGTTATTCGACACTAATGTCTGATAACAGGCGGACACCAGTGAAATGCACGGGAGGATTTTGGTTTTGAAATTAAGATTTTAAATATATTTACATTTTTGGTAAAGCTTCCAGAGAATCTCGTTTGTATTGCAATTGTTTTTTCTGTGTTGGAGGCTCTGCAAACACAGAGTCCTCTGAAGGGTCTGTGTCTTTCCACTCCCGCTTCAATGCAAGCTCCATTTCCACGCTGTCTGCAGCTAAGTCAGCTTGAGGAGATGCAGGGCTGGGGTTGTGTTCTACCGTTAATTGCAGGATCTCTGAAGATTCCTTTAAAATGCGATCAATCTGAAAAAAAACCAAAAAAAACAAAAAACCCAATGATTTTAATTACAAACCACAGATATAATGGAATAGGCCAGTATAGCCACACCAGGCATTTGTGCAAAATTAAACAGATGAAGATGTAGTTTCTTTCACCATACCTGTAATTTTAGATCTCCTCATAATCAACAGTACAACATTGGCTCTGTATAGAATCGATCTTTACAGGGAACTCGCAGTGAAAATCTAGAGTACCGTGTATATATAAAGATAGATATGAGCTGAATTCAAGTTGGTTCCTTATCTAGTGGGAAGGTTTATGAGTGGTTGAAACAGTTATCAACAGGAGAAATAAACCAACATACAGAAACTAAATTTCGGTCAAAGTCCACTGGTTGACCGCTGTTACAGAAATAATAGTTAATCAACATTTTGAAAGTGGCAGAGGGTAAATGTGTAGTTTGATTGGTGGTATAACACCATGTGACCAATTATGGTTTAGGATTGATGTTAATTTGCTAATGCTATCAGTAATAAGTAATTAAATATAAAGATAGGTAAAAAATTTAGATGGTAAATATTTTGATTGGTGGTGTGGTACTATGTGACATCATAAAATGGGATCAATCTTAATTTCATAATTTGAATAATAAATAAAAATATGAGAGTGAAAGAGGAAAAAAATATATTTTCTATAGATAAAATGATAATAAATGTAAATAAAATAATACAAATAACTATAAAATAATAATAACCTGACATTTGTATATGATCTAACAACTATACACTACTAATCAAAAATTGAAACAATACATAATAAAAATAAATAGTAAAATTTATATTGACCAATAATTTAACATAATGATAAAATTACACACACGAACACAGTATTTTACTTAGTATTTGCTTGCAAAAAAGGCGGCAACTCTCTGCTGGTGGAAATGATGCTGTGAGCAGCTCTATGAGATGGATACATGTACCATAAGATGTCATTATCATTATTACAATCTACTGTCTTAACTATACCTGACTCATTGTGTATTTATTGTTGATGATCTACATATTTGTGGGATCCTGTTACAGTACATACTTTTATATATTATGATACCAGTTCCTGGATTAACATGGTATATCAAATTGTGATTAATTGGTAGCGTGACCAAACTATAATTGCAAGTCTTAAGTTCAAATCCAGTATATATTTAGCATTTTGTAAAGGGTATCAATATATTTCTATTACAAAGTTGACAAACTTTAAACATAGGAATCTTATATAAAAATTATAAATGGAGGTCAATCTACGAGTGTGAAAAAAAATCCCCCCAACTAAGATTTAAACCCCGGATATTCTGCTGTTTATGCAGATGCCTAATAACCACCTGGGTTACATATATAAACAACAATTAAGAGTTGAATACACACATGGATTTCACCATCATCTTTATAGTTGTTACAGTGAACATTTATGATCGACTTTCCTACTTACATAGTAGCAAAGTCATTTGTCATAGTTTCATTAAAGAATATGATGTCATTTTACAATCATAAAATGGATTAAACTACTTATTATAATTAGATTACTTAGATTATTAAGGATTACTTAGATTATTTTGGATTACTTATATTATTATGAATTACTTAGATTATTAAGGATTACTTAGACTATTAAGGATTACTTAGACTATTATGGATTACTTACTTGTTGCACATTCTGCTCCTTGATTGGCTGACCATTAACCTCTAAAATATGATCTCCGATGCAGAGAGACAAGTGGTCAGAATTGTCAGCAATTCTGTATGAAACAATGTAAAGAAAATTATTACAATGATGAATTTATAGATTCAAAGTCTTGTATAGTCAAACAAAAATACTACAAATAATTAGGATGGAAAAGGTAATAGATAAATAAAACACTACAGTTTGATGCTTGCATGCAATGAACTGTTTCCAGGAATTCAAATGAGATCTAATATAACTTGCATTACATCATCAAATAGGGCATATAGAATAAAATACCATATCGCTATTATTAACCTGTAAAGGAAATACTGGCGCAAACAAGTACTAACCACAGACAATAATACTTTGAAAAGGAATAATAAAAATAAGACAATATTACTTAGAACGCCTATATGTTTACACAGCATCTTTACAATAATTAGCGAGATTGCAATCCTAACCAAAGCTATAAACGCTAAAGTCACGTATCTGGGGTGGGGGTGCACAGGGTTTGCAAGCCCTCTCAAAAATTACTCACGCCCCCTCAGTTTCCCCCCGAAAAACCACGGTCAAGTAGTTAAAAATCACCTAACAGCACCTCATTTTGCAAATTAGCGGCCCTCGACTGATCATCGAGCCCCCCACCCCACTTCACCTTCTTCATTTCTTCTCAAGAGGGCAACATTTATGGAACATTCTTAAATATATCAGATTTTATTCATTTGATTTCATATGGTTTTCTTATAAGTATTATCACCCATCTTCATCATTCTAGGTTTATTGAAAATTTAAACATTGCTTTTTCAGCTCCTTTACATCCATCAGTAATTGAAACTGATGTATAGGTTATTAAAATGCAGTCTCCAGTGACAAAGCAATTAACTACCTTAAACAACACTATGAAATTAAGATACACTGTCTCCAGTATGGAAAAACCACCAAATCCAAAATATAATACTGCAAGATGAACAAATTCTATTATCAAATTCATTTTATATAATATGTGTTATTTTGTTAGGGTTTTCATGCTTAGAGCTTATGCTTGCTTTGGATACCTTCCATTTATCGTTGAGTATGATATGCTTATACATATTTTACTATTTGCATTATTATTAAGAATTTCGATAAAAGGAAATAAAATTATTTGAAATTGAATTTGGAATTGTTAACAACTAAAACAATAATTGAGTTTAGAAAATGGACAACTCACTCTGAAATGCAAATGGTCCTTCTGTTTTCTGGTTTGCAATCTGCTGATTTTTCTGCACGTCTTTGGTAATGTTTTCTGTCGATTTTTACCGAGAATGAATGACGACCCTTTGGGCTTGGTGGAATGGTTAGCAGTTTGAATGTGTGCGGTATTTTCTCCGGAGTTTGAGCAGCAATTGGCGTCATTATCATACGATAACAATTCTCACTATAGAAGATAAAAAAATTGTTAATTAGTACATAGGAACAACCTGTACATTTTTTCTGTTTTGTTCAATGTTTGTACATCAACTGGAGGAATTTTTTTTTTAACTTGAAGCTGTATCTTTGTGGTTATAGTAATTGCCTTATAATTACAGGGTCCTAGGTTCAAATCCTACATACATGAGAATGTACACTCAAAAGACTGACATTTAACAGTACAAAGTCAAAATAACAATTAAAATATCAATATAATGGTTATGGCACCTATGGGCTACTGTACATTTGCCTAATGTAATTTTGTGAACACTTGAGTAATTAACTTGAGCAATTAACTTGAGCATATCTATCCAGTAATCGCTTAATATCTATCATAAACCTAAATGCCATATTTCTTAATTCAATGTTTAAAATGGTATCAATCATCTCACTATTAAACTTAATTTAAATATCTGTTTTCACACATTCAGAGTTTACTAATACTCTCAAATTTTGTTAATTTATTCAATGAAAGAACATTTTATACTAAATGAAAATCTAATTGCTAAACGGGTCAACGATTTGGCACGTTGCCAACACACAAAGCAGCATATAAAGGTGTTCACATGCATGAAGTGGGTATTTTGCCAGCACCACAACGCCTGCTAAATACACACAATTTTAAAAATTTATCGCGCAAGTTTTGCAATACCATCATCAGCATAGTACAACAGTCTTTTTTCACCTGGTCCTCAAAGCTAGATATATTGATCAAACTCTTCGCATTTACACCGCTCTTCATAAATAAATACAATGTCAAAACAATGAAAGAGAACAGAGAAACACTGAAATTTGTATGAATTGCTAGTTTTTTTGTTCTCCATAAACTTTTTACTAAGTCATTTATAAATCTTTAAGTTATTTGAAATTCTTGCTAATTCGTTAAAATTTAATAAGAATGTGTCACAAACTATTGGACATTAAGAATTGTAAGCCTTTCTTTTAAGAAGCACAACTGAACGTGACCAACTTAATCCAGGCATTCGCTATTAGATTTTTGTCTATCAGACTAACAAAAGTCTGACAGCCTATGCCTATTTCTGACATCTGATCAAACAAATTATGTCTGTTGGAAATTGGACCATGCTGTACTTCATTAAGCCCTGCCTAGATTATCAAATTTTATTTGACAAAAACGTGTGAAAGGCCTCTATATGGTCATGATGACATCACATCATGACCATATATAGGCACATCATGACTATATATGGGCATACAATAGTTTTTTGGCAATGAAAATTTGATAGTCTGGACAAGACTTCAGACTGATTCTAATCAAAGCATGTCTGACAAACACAATCTGACATTATACACTCGGTAAGCAATGATTATAATTTATGGACGTATGATCTAAAGAATTAGCAAATTTATAGGAATTTCACAACATTTGGTGATGTTGGCATGCCATTATCAGCTATAAATCTCACGGCTCTACCCAACATTCTGCATTCATCCATGCAACAAGCTTAAATCATTTTACCACAATTTTACAGAACTGTCTGACTATCCACGAAGGATGGAGAAAAGGATGTTTAAACTTCCTTGATCTACCAACCACAATTTAAAAAATCCATCAAATTGAAGATAACTTGTTCCTTATCTGTCATTTTTAATTTTTTTTAAAAATATTTTCTTGACTGCATATTTGTTAGTATAAATGTTTAGCATTTAGCTTTGGTCAGCAAAGTGTAATTAGTGTTACAGTACAAAGAATTATAGCATTAGCACACACAGCCACCCCACCACCATTCACACTCCCTTTTTCTTGTCAACCATTTAACAACTACGGCCAGTATAAGGATGACTTAGCCTGGTAATAAATGAAAGACCCAACCTATAGGCCTATGGGAAAGAAATAGCAATAGATGTCAAAAACTAATTTTGATTCATTTATGTATTAACTTGTAAAGTACAGCTTCACCATACACATGAAAGGTTACAATGAATTACTACAGTATGGTCATTAAACATCTACTTTCAATTTACTACAGATATATAAAACTGTATTGTAAAGAGTTTTCACTTCCTTGTAAAATCACTATAAATTTTGTAAATATTTAGTAATTTGTGGAGTACATTAGGCTAAATAAAATTAATTGATATTTTCATGTCCCTGTCTTCATCAAATTTTGGAGCCTCATGAAAAAATTTACTATTTGCTATTTTTCAAAAAAACATTCATTTTTCCATGGACAATAAAAATAATGACCAACTGAAAAGAATGATGTTAAGCCTAAGAAGAAGTGGGAATATAAATGGCAGAAATACATTACAGAGATCCACTTTACTTCTTTTATAAAAAAAATTACCAGCCTGTTAACCATTAGTATATGGGATAGTAAAAGCAAATAGTAAATACTTTCACTGAAAAATAATTGCAAATCCTGCACGTGAAACTAACAATTAATTTTATTTGGCCTTATAATTGGCTGAATTAAAGTGGGCTCACACTAATTAATCATTTCAACATATGGAACAACCACTCAATATAAAATTATCAATAATTTATATGCTGAAAACAGACGAACCAATAGAGGTGCGTCCTCTCTACTAGAGCGTAGCACTCCCCTTCACCAATGTAGGAGTCACAGTTGCAGCAGATGAAACATTCTGGGTGGAATCTATGGTCCCCAGCAACCTGGAAAAAAGATTATTTTGTTATTAAATCATCAGCAGCTACAAATTTATTTATTATTATTATCACCATCTTTCTTATCATTATAATCATTAGTTCGTAATATCACTGTTAACATCATCATTTAATACCATGATTATCATCATCATCATAATTACCAATAACATAAGAAATTATCTACAACATCATCATTATATCATCAACATAACATCAACATCATCATTAACATCATACTTACCATCATCAGCACTAAAATGATGTTATGCATAGATATTAGTTTCATCTGCCTATTTCCAGTTTTAAATTAAAGATTATAGAAATCAATACAAATACAGTACTCAATCTCATTTTTTTCATTTATTAATCTAATGCAATTACTAACACCACTGAATTGTAGCAGATTAAACAATGACAAACCATTATTGGTCCTGTTATGAGAAGAGCACACCCATGACAAGCTTGTCCAAAGCGTATCCAGTAGTCTTTCCGACAGAAGAGATGACCATCCTTCTCAAAGTACCAACTGGACAGACGCAAATTACAGTCAGAACACCTGTCAATTAATAAAGAGAAGATGATCATGAATGAATGTATTGATATAATGCTCTAGATTTTACGCCATCCATTTGCGTAGGCTATAAAAGGTACTTGGAAACAAAGCAACCGTAATTTGGGCTTATCAAGCCGAACAATGATAAACATGTAACTACATGAGTCCTTCACTCAAACATACACCATGCCCAGATCTCTCATCCAGTGGGTTCCAACTATTAAACACATATCTCTAGGTATAGCCATCAGGGATAAGCCAGTGGGTGGGCTAGCTGAACTCTGAATTATACCTTTCTCTTCATTTCTAAATGATTTATTCTTTATTGAATACTGTAGTCATACTCTATTCAATACAACCTTAATTCATTTAATTATATTTATTTTATTATTTATATTCATGATATAAAATGATGATTTATAAAATGAATATACAGGTATACAATTAAATTAAAATCCACTATATACAGTAAAAATAGACTAGATGAGAAAAAATAAATAAAATGAAAGCAAAATTCTAGTTGGAGATGCATATTTGTCCTAAAGTCAATTTCCTGCCATTGTTTATAAAAACTAATGCAATCACACAATCATAAGAATAACAAAAAACTGAAATAGGGAAATACATAAAATGTTAACAATGTAACAGTTGAAAGTGCAGTATTAATGTTATTACAGTATGCACATGTGTTAGGAAAATCATGCTTGTGCCATATGATTGTCATGGTTAGTGTCACAAGACTGATTTTTGTTATAGACTATTAATAATTTTGGCAATTTCAAAATGAACAATGTTTGCGCAAAAAGAATATGGGTGACAAATCAAGTAGGGTGTGTTTCCCTGTCCTTTATATAAGTAAATCTACACTTTACTATTATACATTTACTATTAAATGCCATTTATTTTTTTATACAAATCCATCTGACCACTATTCTATAACAGGAGAAACCTTAACCTGCTAACCATCATCCATGCACTTAACTAACCATTGTATAGAGCAGGATTTGTATATAGGATATTTTGAATAGATAAGGATGGGATTATCATGACAATAAAATTCAATCTGAACCTGAATCTGGAAAATACACAAAACAGTGAGGTACTATATTATATGAGGAAATTGTTCAGTAATGAGATTTCCATGAAAAGAGGCACAGGACCAGACATAATCCGCAAAGATCAATGTTAAATTACAGGATACAATAATATGTCCACTATGTCTAGGCTCGCTTTGTAAAAATTTAATATACTTTACAATTACTCAGTCGTCATGCTTCTGATTGCATTAGAAAAATTCAAAGGATGCAGTTGAGGTTAAGGAAAAAAAGGATACCAAATTTATGAGGTTAACCAAAAATGAAATGTAAACAATAACACAAAATAATGCACTATAATTTAGGAAAGCAATTTGGTGGTTGATGGTTATTCAGACACAAATAAAAAAAATATATAATATAATTTACACAAAAGTGCACATAATGAGGTAATTGATTTAAAATGAATAAACTATTGCAACATAAACTGCATATTCCCATCATACTGAATGAAAACAGCTGAATTTAATAATAATAGTTGGAATATAATAGTAATGTAAATATTTAACATTAACAATATTATATATTAACCATAATAATATTAATAATATAGTATTAAAATGAATATGAGTGCCACTTGTACTTCATCAGCATTTTTAAAATATGACCTTCAAATTAATTAATATTTTTCCCTGGGAGAAAATGGGTTACACCTTCGACGTACCCCTCCCTATCTCCCATGAAATTCCAAAATGTATTTGGAGTAATACATTGTTTTCTAGCTGAATCCCATCAATCTTTAAAACCTAGGCACAAATTACTTGCTGTGATCAGCGTCACCTTTCATTAACATTTCTATTTATAAAATATTCAGTCGTTCATCTGATGCATGTAGAGTATTGTCTGGGAAGTAATGTTATAATCTTCTATTCGATCATAATACACATTAATACATGCGATAACTCAACCCTATGTAACGAAACTGTTACACAGGTAGTTTGTGAGATTGTCCACCCAGGGCCTATTCCATTTTAATGTGGGTAACTTCTTGGGATATTTATTCTAGGATGTTACAAAACTATTCAAGTGTATAAATCTCAGAGGTTGGCCTAATCATAGTGTAATATTTACTTTGTTCTTTTTAATCAAAGAATATTATAATCCTGAATACAAACATCATAAATAATCATAAATATCATTAATATCACCATCATATTTTTCATATGGTAATTAACAATTTCATCACCAGCACAATACATTTCAGAATGATTATAAGACCATTATTATCACCATCATTAACATAAACATCATCAGATCATCCTTATCAATATCAATGTAATTCTGTATATTTTTATCTATGATAATTAATATTTATCTGTTATCTATTTCTAGCATTATATAACAGAACTAACCAAGTGTAGACTTACAGTACTGACCTCACTTGTGTACTGTATATCACAAGCAATTTATTAATAGTACAACAAAACCTTCACAGTGAAGGTTAATTGTGGTGTGTATATAAGTAGGCCTACCTTAAGCAAACATATTACTGTATTGGTTTAATACCCTAAAAGCATATTTACTCAGGATAATACAGAATAAAACTCAACAAAGCAATCATAGTTATAGGTAATAATACAGTGTAATTGCTGATAAAAAATGAGCTAACTTTATACTAGAAACTTTGTATGCATTGTGCATCACAGGCATTTTTGCATGGGGTGGGTCCAAGACATAAGGAATAGGTTTAGAATCTATACTATAGAGAAATTTGCTGTTAATAAAACATGGAGATTGAAATGTGTCCTTTTGGCATGCACAATAAACCTCATACATTAATTAGGCACATTAAGCAGAGGATACAGAGCAATTAAAGATGTATAATATGAAGATAGAAATGTTTTAATTTTACCATATTAAATCTAAATATAATATCACAACTACATAGAGTAATGTACATCTGCCTGACTAGGAAAAATGGAATTAGAACCTTTAAGTATGCGACATCAGGGGAGTACAATGTATTTTAACTGAAAAAAGAGCCAAAACCCTTTACAGATTTATAGATAAAATTTTTCAATTTCTATATACCTTTCAAGTAAATGAATGAATTAAGAATCGGTTTATTTTATGTATTCAAAGAAAAACTCCAATAATATTAAAAGCAATCCAAGATCAATACATCACCTCATTTTTTTAAACTATTTCTTTTCCAACAATATATTGGATCCAATCTCTCTATTTTGTAGCTTATTATTTCAATTCTTCTTCACTACTAAAAAAGTATATTAACATAAACCATACCTGATCACATAAACTACAACACTTCACTTGAAACAGCTTAATTCAATAAATTACTTTAGCCTCTGATTAATTCCCGATATCTCTGACATCATTTCCTGAAGCCAGTCAAAACAACCTAAGGGCAAGGATCCATTTGGATCGGATATGGAAGCAAACAGCACGGGAGTGTCTTGATTCTATTTTTATACATGACATCATGTCAGAAGTATTGAAAATATATCAGGTGACGTTTGGAAATTCTTAAGAGGTGAAGGATTATGAAGGAATTCGGAGAAAAGCTGGTGGATTTAACCAATTTTTTTGTAAACTGTATTAACTAGTATTTCAACCTGACTTTTAAAACATGTTGTCAATACTGTACTGACAGCTTCAATGGTTTCCATTCATTAAAAAGTTGTAGTCTACAGTATGTAGTTCAAGTTAATGACATCAAACCATCAATTCTATTCGTGATTAAACACGACTGTAGATTATAAACCATGGGAGTTCACAACCAATAAGTTTGAGATGTCATAATCGTATGGTAGACAACATTGGACGGGGAATACTTTCCTTCATCGGCTGCCATCTCTATTATAAGGAAAATAAGATTACGATTATGAATTATGAAATAAAACTGAAGAAAGTGGTACAAGTCATACACTATATAAATATTGATTGATAATCATAAAAAAAAAATAACAATGAAGCTGACACTTCCTGTTTCATTGAATCTGGAATTTATTATACAATGCTTCTAAAATCATTAAATCTAAGGGTTAACCTACATAATCTACTGGTATAAGTTTAACGGATTTTCATATTTTTAATTTCAACTTTAATGATATAAAACCAGCTGACAATTGATATTAGTAACAACAATTAGCAATAATAATCATCACAACCACAATGACAATTAAATTCTGAGATATATTTGATGATTAATATACAGTTGAACCGCTGTCATTAGTAATTTCAAAAACAATTTGTTTTGTACCTCTCTTGCACACACTTCTCATAAGTAACCACGTCCATTTTTTGGCTTGAAATTCAGATTTTTCTTTGGTACTTTACATCACCTAGGACTTTATAAACCAACATAAAATAAAGCATGTGTTATTTCTGGTTACAGCCTGTATCCTGGCCTAATTGTACAGGAGCTTTCAATTCTACATTAAGTGCTAAGTTGGTCAAAGTTTGACTGTTGGTGTTGACTAGGGTGTGACTTTAAAGTATTACATTTGTGAACACTGACCAAGCCCTCTTTATCTATTGAATTTGATGTTCATGCACGCTGAATGTTTACAAACTTAAATATAAGGTTATGAGGCCGGAGCAGAAGTACTGGATTGATATTTTCTCATAAATGGATACAATAATAATCATATACCCGTGCTCTGCACGGTGTTAAATGAGTGTGAAAAGTGGGGAGGCATATTGTTAAATGTTATGGGAAGATGAGGAGGCAATCACTGAGGATGTTATACAGTAGTTACCTTGTCATTATTTCTCTAAAGTACCTTTTTGTAGCAATAGTAACAGCACACGTAATGTAAATTGTGACGATCTTATTATTTTCTTCACAAGCTATTTATAAAGGGAAGATTTCAGAGGGTTATCATTGATGGACATACATCAGAATGGCGTTTCACAAGGTTCCATTCTGGGGCCATTGTTTTTTATTAT